TCTCCTACCTGGTAGCGCCATCTCTAACATTCTTCTACCGATGTATCCACTGTCCCTCCTCTGCACATGTCCAAACCATCTCAATCTGGCTTCTCTAGCTTTTTCTCCAAACCTTCCTGTCTGTGTTGTCCCTCTAATGACCTCATTCCTGACCCTGTCCATTCTTGTCACTCCTAAAGATAATCTTAGTATCTTTAACTCTGCCATCTCCATCTCCGTCTCCTGTCTTCTGCCTATTGCTACCGTCTCTAAGCCATACTTCATGGCTGGTCTCACCACCGTCCTGTAAACCTTTCTCTTCACCTTAGCTGACACTCTTCTGTCACAGATTACTCCTGACACTTTTCTCCAGCTGTTTCATCCTGCCTGTACTCTATTCTTCACTTCTCTAAGTACCTAAACTCCTGCACCTTCACCACCTCTGCTCCTTGTAACCGTACTATTTCACTGTTCTGCCTTTCGTTTACACACAGGTACTCTGTCTTGCTACGACTGACCTTCATTCCTCTTCTTTCTAGTGCAAACCTCCACCTCTCTAGGTTCTCTTCTAGCTGCTGGTGCTCCCTGTATATAGACCCCTCTCCCTCACTCTGGCCTTGGGGGATCATTAATTAAGTGACTGTCCGTGTGTGAGCGCTGTATCATTCGTGCCAGCGTTGTGTCGAGCTTTTTGTTGTAGCTGTTCCTAGTCGGTTCCTGAGCAAGTCTGTTGCTGTGCTCAACTCTGTTCGTGTTCTCAGCTCTGCTCGACTTTGTGTATGTTTATGCAAGGTTAAGCAATAAATGAATGCCGTGAAGTAAACAAAAAAGATGTACTATATTGATCACATATTTGGGAAATTGTTGTGTTAGCAGCAAATATGCTGTTAAAAGGCCACACCTAGCGTGTGGTTCCTCTGGGAATCGAACCCAAGAATCATTTAGCAGTACTATAGCAAGAAAGCGATCAAGTCGTAAACAAATAGCTAAAATGGCATAGTATCGCTTTCCTTACCTAACTAACCTGTAATATTTTACATATTTCTATAGTACTGAAGCACCGTTGAGATATAACTCTTTACCCATGATTTTGTATATTTGTGTTCTTACCTGGCAAGTTTAACTCAATTTTCGGCCCAAGCTTGGGA